GGCATCTGATAAGTTTTGCAGCTTGTTTTTATGCGCATCCCTATCAGACCCAACAGAAACGCGCTCTCAGCGCAGAACTGCAAATGTTAAGCAAATAAGAGACGAGATTTGGTTAAAAAAACATTTTTGTGCACTGAGAGAGATTTTGTCATATCAACGAATCAATAATGCTCATAAATATGAATACAAATAGATCGGTTCTGATCTGATAAGTTTTGCAGCTTGTTTTTATGCGCATCCCTATCAGACCCAACAGAAACGCGCTCTCAGCGCAGAACTGCAAATGTTAAGCAAATAAGAGACGAGATTTGGTTAAAAAAACATTTTTGTGCACTGAGAGAGATTTTGTCATATCAACGAATCAATAATGCTCATAAATATGAATACAAATAGATCGGTTCTGATGGCACACGATTAGACCATGACGAGTGTGTCTCTCGGATCGGCTGATGATAAGTATTGTTATTTTTTTTTATTATGGCAAGGGGCCTCAAAAGCTGGAAGCGGCCTGGGCCTCTCTGAACCCCTCAGAGGGCCTGACTACAAAACCAGCTTCCTTCTTGCACTTCCCTGGGAGGGTCTTACATGGGCAAGCTCCGCAGAACCCCGACATTGGGCCTCCCCCCAGACTGAGGGGACCGAGCCAGGAGTCAATCCCTTAGGCTCCCTCAAGCTGAGCCCTCTCTGGTGAAAGGGGTGATTAGCTGCGGGATGCTGACAGCTATTGAATCAGGGCCACTGCCTCATTTCAGACAGGGCACCACCCGTCAGTGGGCAACAACAGGCCAGAGCTGCGTTGCAGCAAGTGAGCCGGCCAAGCGACAGGCTCTGTATCCGGTCAGCGACCTTCCCCCGAGCTGTCCGGCTCCCTACACTGCACCGCGTAGAAGGGAAGGATTTTGCTCCAGACTGACAGTGCTGAGTAGCTCTCAGGTGCCCGGTGGCTATTCTGATCTCACAACCCCGGGATAAATCTGGAGTAAGTGGGAAGCTCTGGCTGTAGCCCAGGAGCATGGGTTGTGTGAGGCAGGGCTGGGATTGCAGAATACTCAAGAGTCTCCCCGACTTGCTGCCAGCTGCTCCCAGTGCCTGTGTTCCTATCACTGGCATCTCCATGAAAGTGGGACTAAAGGAAGAGCCAGATCCAATGGCCATTGTTTCTGGTGGTGACCCTTCCACTCCTCCATCAAATCAAGACTTGAGCATTCTCTCCTGTGCACGCCCTCCCTTTTCCTTCACACCGAGCGGGGTTAAAGAAGCTGCATGTGGGAACTGTGCAAGTTTTGTCCCAGCAATTGTGCCGGTGAGGCCAGAACGTACAGAGTCAGCCTGTCGTAATCAGCAATTGTGAAATCTGTGCTGAAAGGCACTGAACCGTGGGACCCCACCTCCTCCCCCCCATGCCTCTAATCTTGATTGAACACAGCAGCCTGCACAGGAAACACAGAGGCTCAAAAGCTCCCAATCAGCCAAGCAAGGAAAGAATTTTCTCCAAGAAACGGCTCAGAGCGGAGTCCAAGAAGGACTTTGATCCTCAGGTGAGTGCATACGGCAGCTTTCTACTCAGTCTTCTGTCAAATGGGCTTTTCTGACGGTTTCCCCCACTTTTCCAACCTGTTTTCAGGAGTAGAATTGCTGCACAGCCGTTCGGAGGAGAGGGAGAGGATAAAATCCAAGCCCATTCCTGAGGTAAGCTACTTTTAACTGGTTGGTTTGGGGGAAGTGAAGGCACTGCTGGAGTGGGCTTCCTTGTACAAATGTCTCAGCCCGAAGTCATGTGCGTGTGAAAGCCCGCACGGCAGGGTGTTATCTGAATACACTGACCACTGGAGACGGGACAATCCAAGGATCTTTGGATCTGGAGATCGTACAGGAGACAGCGACGGAGGCACCTCAAAGGAGCAGCCCCTCAACATCCCAAAATGCCAGGTTTGCCATTGTGCTGGGCTCTTCCCCGTAGGCGGCCTGTGCCACCCCTGTACAGGGCCAGTCTGGCTCTTACTGCTCAAAGAAACACGGTCAGTTGGAAAAAACAAGGTGGCACCTTAAAGACGGACTCTTTTATTATGGCATAAGCGGTCTTGAGCTGCAGCTCCCTTCGTCAGATGCATGAAGGGAGAGAAAAAGAAACAGAGAGTAGGGATGCAGAGATGGGAGTGTGACATCTGAGCTAATTCAGGCAAGGTGACTGGGTAAGAAGGCGAGAATACATAACGGGGAAAGTTACTTACTGTAATGTGTCTCAGAGAGGAAGCCAGGTTAGTCTGTAACTTTGAAAATAATGAGTAGTCCTGTGGCACCTTAGAGACTAACAAATATATTATACCATGAGCTTTGTAGGTAAAACCCACTTCATCAGTGGGTTTTTACCCACTTTTTCTGGGAAAAACCTACTTGGTCTGATGAAGTGGGTTTTACCCATGAAAGTTTATGATCTAATATATTTGTCAGGTTGTAAAGTGCCACAGGACTGCTCGTTCTTTTTATTGTAACGAGGGAGCCATTCCCAGTCCCTATCCAGACCCATTCTGATTCTGTCAGATTTGCATACGGGAATTCCAGCTCAGTAGTTTCACGTTGCAGTCTGTTCTTGAAGGTGCTTTGCTTGAGGATGGCAACTTTCAAGTCTGTAGCTGTGTGTCCAGGGAGGTTAAAATGTTCTCTCACTGGATTTTGTTTATTATCTAGGTTGGAAAATAGGAAAAACTATTTCCCTAGGAGGGTGGTGAAGCACTGGATTGGGTAATCTAGGGAGGTAGTAGAATCTCCATCCCTAGAGGTGTTTAAGTCTCGGCTTGACAAAGCCCTGGCTGGGTTGATTTAGTTGGGATTGATCCTGCCTTGGGCAGGGGGCTGGACTTGATGACCTCAGTCTCTTCCAGCTCTAGGATTCTATTCTTGATGTCTGATTTGTGTCCATTTATTCTGTTGGGTAGAGACTGTCCGGTCTGGCTGATGTGCGTGGCAGAGGGGCATTGCTGGCACTTGCAGGTCTATATCACGTTAGCAGATGTGCAGGTGAACAAGCCTTGGCTAGCATGGTGGACGTGGTTAGGCCCTGTGAGGGTGTCCCTAGGGCAGATGTGTGCATAGAGCTGGCAATGGGGTTTGTTGCAGGGCTTGGTTGCTGGGTAAGTGTGTGTGTTGTGGGGTGTGTGGTTGGTGGGGAGTATGTGATTCAGAGGAGGGGCTGTCTGAGCGAGGACTGGCTTGCCTCCCAAGGTCTGTGAGAGTGAGGAATCATTGCCAACTCTGCCCACTCCTCTACAGGGATGGACACAAAGAGGCATTTAGGTTGCAGAGCCAAAACTCTGCGGGGAGCCGCTGGGTCTAATCCCTAATGCGGCATGTTAGCAAACCCCAGTGCCATTGCTGGCACCAGCAGGCTGGGAATGTAGATCTTAATAAGGGGCATTGTTATGTCAGCAATTCCAAGAATGTCAAGTCCTCTATTTGCCAAACACAAGTTAGGCACTGAGAGGAAATCATCAGTCAAAAGGGCAAACTGAAGAGTGCTCCAGGCAGCATAATCCCTCCCTGTCCTGCCCTGATTTTTCCAAGCCCCGTCCCCATCTCTGCTCCATGCCCCCTTACTTCCCAGGCTCTTGCCAAGTCTACACAGGCACTCTCCAGGGCTGTAACTTTTTGGTTCAGGGCTGTGACCCCTCCCTAGTGCAGCAGGTTTACACAGAGCGCTAGCAGAGCTCTCTCTCAGCCCTCCTGCCGTGGCCACACTTTCAGTTTAGAAAGTCTCAGAGGGGGAGCCGGGTTAGTCTGTCACTTTAAAAAGAACGAGCAGTCCTGTGGCACCCTGGCCCTGATCTACACTAGGACTTTGTTTCAAAATGACCCCCCTTAGGTCAAATTTATAAGTGGAGTGTCCCCACTAGCAAGGGCATTATTTTGAAATAACGGGCGGTGGAATTCAAAATCTGTTCTCCTGCTTTTCAGTGGGAATAACGCTCATTCCGAAACAGTTATTTAGAAATAGCAGCCGTGTGGATGCTCCAGAGCCGCTATTTCAAAATAACGATTCCCCAGAGTCACTTGAACTAATTATTCCCCAGGGCATCCTGGGGCTCTATGTCGAGATACCGCGTCCACATTAACGGAGCCTCCCTCGGACTCATTTCAATGCTTCTCCGTAGTGAAGACATGCTAGTTTGAATTGGTTAAATCCGGAGTTATTAAGTCAAATTTAGTAATTTTGAAATAGTTTCCTAGTGTAGCCATGGCCTTTGAGACCAATAAAAATATATATCTAGTATTGTGAGCACTCATGGGCAAACCCCACTTCTTCAGATGAGCTTACCTGAAGAAGTGGGTTGTGCCCATGAAAGCTCATGAGTCTGTATATATACGTGTGTGTGTCTCTACGGGCCACAGGGCTACTCATTGTTTTTCAGTCTGTAGCACTGCCCGGGCTTTATATTCTAAGCACAGACAGAGGCCACACATGAATTAGCTGCATTTCTGGTTTTCCTTGTGCTGCTTTCCATAGGGCTAGCCCCTTCTGCCAGGCCTGGCTGTCTCCCCAGCACTGGGTGCTGCGAGCAGTGCCTCCCAAGAGGAAGGGCTGGCTCATAAAGGAGGTGGCAGCCACAGGAGGATTTTAAAAGTGCTGCAAACGAGTTGTTGTAAAGCATCATCTGGCAAGTGCCCACAGCGTGTTCTCTACAAGACACACACGTCTGGCACGCCCAGTCGCAGATCCACAAGCTGCAATGCCAGAGCTAGCAGAAGGAGTAACCTTAAACAACTCAGCTTTGCCAAGAACTTTAGGTAGGCGTTGCAACATAGGATTTCATATTTCTGTAGGGCGACCTTTCCCCATCAGAATCTCAATACACCACCTCTCCTCACTGCAGGGCAGACACCTCTGGGGTGTGGAGGAAAGCAGTAGGGGAGTCCTTACTCCACGGAGAGAGGGAATTGTGAGCAAACCCTCATATGTGATAAGTTCCATGGGATCTTTTATGCCCACACAGGACAGAGCTTAAGCTATTAAAGCTTCATTTGAAGGATCCACCAGAAAACATCAAACTTCATTTCTCCGCCTCAGGATAATGAAGCGTCAGGCTGCCTATGTTTATGCACAATATTAAGTCTCCTAAGAAATGTACCAGCAGGCTAGAAGCTGCAAGCTACCAGTTTTGCTTTATTTCTTTTTCCTCCAAATGTCAGATATCTGATCCTGTTCAGAGTTTCCATTTCTACTTGTCATAACACTTTATACGTCCTATCTGGACAAATACATTCTCTCTCTCAGGAATGAAACAGAGCTTGTTACAGGAATGTGCTTCGGAGAAAAACAAATGGCTACCTGTCCACTTCTCTCCCTTGCTGGAAAACAGAAATACTTGTGTTCCATAGCGTACTGATATCCTGTTCTGACAGATGCTAAAACACCCTGGTGATGAAGGGCGTGGCAAAGATTAGAGAGGAGATTGTCCGTGTATCCATAGCTCTTAAGCCTTCCAAAGCTTTGTGGATGTTTGAAATCTTCCCCCAAAGGAAAAGAGGAGCCTTTCACCCCAGATTATAGGTTTCTCGGTAGAGCCCTGCAGATATCCATGTTACATCAGCAGACATCCGCATCTGCCAATGTGGATACAGGCATCTGTAGCTTATTTCTGTGGATGTGGACGTGGATACAAATGTTGTATCTAGAACCCTGCAAATCTGTAGATCCGCTTTATGTCCACAGGGATCTGCATCTGCAGATGTTAATGCAGCTATCAGCAGTTCGCTTTTGCGGCTGCCAAATTTTGTATCCACGCAGGGCTCGATTTATTGGTTTGACAGTCTCGTTCCCAGTGAACCGGGGTGTTCACACGTCGAAAATAATCATCCGCCCAATTGACCGATGTATTTGGAGGTATCAATAAAATCTCAGCCGTGGTTTCAGTCACCCATCCACCTTTTTCTTTTAGGCTTAATCCAGGTTCCCATTCAAAATCCTGTTGCACTATTCCAGGCCATTCCCTTTTAATCCTGGTAGTGATTGAGGTCTACAGCTGTCTCATTACTTCACGTCCACACTTCTCATTATTCTTGACAGCTACTGCTCTGGGGCCAATAAGAGGGAACGTCACCCCACACTGCCATGCCCGATGTCACCTCATTGGCTGTAATCGTCACTTCCATAGTGAACAAAAATTAGGAAAATGTGTTAAGTTTTTCCTCTTGTCAAGGCATCAGCTTAACTTGTCCCTGCCTTTGCCTCCTTCCTAGAGTCTTTTTTCCTGCCACCTTTTCCTTGGAAGGATGGAGCCCCAAGACACAGGTGTGCAGTACAGCAGGTGGAATGACAGCAGTCGCGATGAAGTCAGTGTGAACACATCCACTGCCGAGGTGTCGGGATGCAGCAGGTGAGACCCCTGCAGCTCAGCTGTCTGGCAGGTGCAGAATCAATAACACACTCAAGAGAAATTGCTACCCAGAGCCTATTCTGATTCCCAGAGTTTTCCACCTGAGCTAGGCAGGCCCTCCTGTCCTTCTCCTTAGCCGGGGACAGGCTGTCCACCTTTCAGCCTTCTGAGCTGGACTTAACAAACCCCATGTGGTTTGGCTGCCAATGGTCAGTCAGCAGAGTAGCCCTACATCCACCATGCAGGGGCCTAGAACCAGGCACGCTGTCCCTGAGGGCATTCCAGCCAGGCTGACACCCATCACCTTCTGGAAGCTAACAGAGTCAGATCTTCCAGCATTGTCCCTGTCCCTCCGTTTAGCAGCACAGAAACACCGACAGGGCCCAGCCCTTCGGTGCCACTGATGTCCGTGAGGTTCTTACCCCTTGAGCTCTGGCACGAGAACCCAATGTGGACTTTTTAAAGCAGAGAAACTGGACTCAATTCACAGCCAATGTTACAGATACAGCTGGCTGCTAACTTACTATTTTTAAAGCTAAGCTGTCCATACGCTAGTCTCAATTCTTTTTTTTTAAGCAAACTGCAAACAGTGAGGGTACGTCTACACTAGCTCGTTAGTTCGAGCTAGGTAGGGTAATGAGGGCAAGCAGAGTTGCAAATGAAGCCTGGGATTTAAATATCCCGGGCTTCATTTGCATGTTCCCGGGCGCCGCCAATTTTAAATCCCCCTTAGTCCGAACTCCGTGCCTGCGGCTACACGTGGCGCAGAGTAGGTACAGGCAGTCCCCGACTTACAAGGATCCGACTTATGTCGGATCCGCACTTACGAACGGGGCTCTCGCCCCGGAGGTCGAGGTAGCGGATTGCTACCTGCGAGCTCCGGGGCGAGAAAGCCCCGTTCGTAAGCTGCTCCGGTGCCCCTGGTCTGCTGGAAACCGTCTCCAGCAGACCAGGGGCACCGGGCAGGTTCCCGCACTTCTGAGGCTTTGCCAGAGCAAAGCCTCAGAAGCGCGGGGGACCGCCGCCGCTGCCCCTCGGGCAGCAGTGACAGATTTTGGAACCACAGCGTGTTGTGCTGATGCGAGAGGGAAAGCCCGTCCTTTCCTAGCTCCCCCTTTGCCTCGGGGCAGTCAGCTGAGATTGAACAGTCAGTTCTCGGAGGCAGCAAGGAGGCTGCCTCCAGCCCGCGGTGTGTGCGTCTCCCTATCCCTGATGCCGATGGTTCCCTTTGTGTGCTCATGTGACGTGTGTGTAGTGGAGATACCTGCATCGCATGCATGTTTGCTGACTTGCCGGATTGGGGGCGAAGAGGGAGAACTGGAGGGATCCAGCCTAGGGCCCTGCAGGTGAATCGCACCGTTACTTCTACTTGCACTTGTGCACGTAGTAACCTGTCACGTAGCCAACCACAAAAACGGCCCAGAAGAGGATGTTTCCTCCAATCACTTTGACTGCGATGCCAATTTTCCCAGTGCACAGCTTGGTGTAGATTCTGGGGAGATAAATGTAGATAAAGAACAGAGATAGGGTATGACTACACTGCCACCTTAGTTCGAACTTGGGTGGCTAATGTAGGCATTAGAACTTGCAAATGAAGCCTGGGATTTAAATATCCTGGGCTTTATTTGTATGTTCCCGGGCGCCGCCATTTTTAAATGCCCCATAGTTCGAACTCCCTGCCCGCAGCGACATGTGGCACGGACTAGGTAGTTCGAATTAAAGATCCTAATTCTATGAGGAGTACCAGTAATTCGAATTAGGATCTTTAATTCGAACTACCTAGTCCGTGCCACATGTCGCTGCGGGCAGGGAGTTCGAACTATGGGGCATTTAAAAATGGCGGCGCCCGGGAACATACAAATAAAGCCCAGGATATTTAAATCCCAGGCTTCATTTGCAAGTTCTAATGCCTACATTAGCCACCCAAGTTCGAACTAAGGTGGCAGTGTAGTCATACCCTATCTCTGTTCTTTATCTACATTTATCTCCCCAGAATCTACACCAAGCTGTGCACTGGGAAAATTGGCATCGCAGTCAAAGTGATTGGAGGAAACATCCTCTTCTGGGCCGTTTTTGTGGTTGGCTACGTGACAGGTTACTACGTGCACAAGTGCAAGTAGAAGTAACGGTGCGATTCACCTGCAGGGCCCTAGGCTGGATCCCTCCAGTTCTCCCTCTTCGCCCCCAATCCGGCAAGTCAGCAAACATGCATGCGATGCAGGTATCTCCACTACACACACGTCACATGAGCACACAAAGGGAACCATCGGCATCAGGGATAGGGAGACGCACACACCGCGGGCTGGAGGCAGCCTCCTTGCTGCCTCCGAGAACTGACTGTTCAATCTCAGCTGACTGCCCCGAGGCAAAGGGGGAGCTAGGAAAGGACGGGCTTTCCCTCTCGCATCAGCACAACACGCTGTGGTTCCAAAATCTGTCACTGCTGCCCTGTACTGCAACAAGAACTGCTCCTTGGATCTGCCGGGGCCAGCCCCTCCACCCCCCATGAGACACTCATCAGCAGCCGATCTGGGTACCAGTTTTGCACGAGCATGTTTTCAATGAGCTTCTCAAGGCATTGGCACATCCGTAGGCATCTGAAAACGGTGTGTGTGCACGTAAGGGGGTAGTTGTGTGAGCAAACCAGCCCGTGTGTGCATCTGATTGCATGTGCAGATTAGCCACAATTCCTTAGTAGTGATTGGCGCCCTGTGTAACACTCAGTCGACATGCACACGCTTCTAGCAGACAAGGGCTGTTCCAGACACATGGTGCTGCTCCCTTTCAATTGAGAGTCCTTAGTACGACCCTACATTGTACTGGAGGCGGAGAGTGCAGTGCCTGGGGTCACAGGACTTGCTGACCCAACCTTGGAAATTTCTTTATGCTCCATCAGCCACATCAGCTCAGAGAATTAAGGCTTTTGCACCCAACCTCTCTACTAACTCTTCAGGAAGGCTGCATGCCAGCACCTAGTGAAGCTGGGTCATCATAAACTAATGTGATGGGAACCTTTATTTTAAGCATAACCCCACTGGCTTTCCCCTCTTGCTCTGTGTAACCTGGTTTAATAACCTTTCCTCTAGAAAACTCAGCTAGGCCCTGGCTCGCTCACAGCCTGATCTGTAGGGTTTTCAAACGGTGCAGATATGTAAAGCTCTGTATATTTCTGCAACACACATTATTTTAAGTAATAAAAGCAGATTACAAACCAACAGGCTGCCCGTGTGTCTGATGAGAGCTGGAATGTGTCTCAATGGAAAGGCTTATTCAGGGAAGCCCCTGAAGAGTATCTTGGTGTCAGACTGACTTCCTGTCACTGCAGCTTGAACAGGAAACGTCAGGGAAATCTACTCTGCTCCGGGGCTGCCCATTATGTAGTTGGGGTTCACCTCATTGAAGGTAAAGCCTCCCCGCAAAAAGAGTCTGGGTGGGAGCCAGATTCCAACCCCACTTCACCCAAGGGAGAGAGATTTGAGCTCACGTCTCTTCTAAACAATCCTGACCGGAATAACCCGCTCCACCCAAGCACAACCCCAATTCCAATCCCGCAGGCAGGCCTGGGTGGCAGGACTTATCTAAGTGTGCGCTAACGCTTGCCCAGCCGCACGTGGGCCTGTCGCCGTGCACACGGGTAGCCTGTCCTGACAACTGAGCAAAGGAGAGAGAGGCGGTTCTTTCGGGATTTAGTTCACAAGCCTGGCGCGTCAGCCAGATTCTGTTCCCTTCCCACCCCCGCCTGCCTCCTTCCCCAAGGCTGTTGGCAAACATGGGGGAAGGACTCTAGTCTCTTCATGTTCCTTTCATCCATGCATCCCTCTCTTCTTCCACCACAGGGCAAGGCCCCCTCAGGTACATGCTGCCTTTCCTAACGTCTGCATGGATCCCTCGTGATGCCCCATCCCGTGCTGGAGCACAGCGCAGGCCACGGAGCCTTTCGGCAGTGTGCTTTGAAGAGCGGAGATGCAGTGTCCACCCGGAAGGTTGCATGGGGAAAGGCCGCGCGTTTGACCAGCCCTGTCAGCAGCACTGTCTGGAAGGACTAGTCCAGGATGTGGCTGTGGGAGATAGGCCAGCCCCCACCTCTAACTAGCTAAAGCAGCCCAGGTTATTTATTTACCAAGGGGTCTGGTTATGTCACTGGTAGAGAATGCAAAGCTGGTCTGCAGCCTCCTGGGTGTCAGACAACAGAGAAAAGGGGCAAAGAGTCAGGGCAGGAGCTTTGGAGACATCAGGGTACCAAGGTGCATGACAAGGAAGCACTTTGTGTCTGATAGTCCTTGTGCTCATTTCTCAGCTCACCCTGCTGTTCCCCACGATTCCACGCGGCGCCTTGTGTCATGGAGCCCTAGGCCCCTCTTTCTTATGTAGGACTCAGTCATCTTGGCTAGTGGAGGGCAGCAGGGAGCTTTGGAGGCCAGAGGGGGCTGAATAGGTACATTAAGCTCTGCGATGTGTTTAAAAGGGCTCTCCAAGCAGTTCAGTCACAGGACTGCTTATCAGAGGAGTGAGTCATCCCAGCTGGGCTGCTACTGAAGATAAGCACCTGTGGGGGAGGCTAAACCTGGCAGCGTTGCCTCTCCTCTGGTTTATGGTGGCGTTGCTTAAGTTTTGACCAGCGATCTCATGAGCAAATTCCAGTGAGGTCACCTGGCCAGGAGACTGAAAGCAGCAGAAAGCGACTGAACAACAGGAATACACCACAGGCCCTGACACTTCTCCTCTGGCATTAGCACTGACTAACCAGAGTTGCTGCTGGTTTCCACCGTGGGGCTGCTTGGGGTGAGCTGTCTCCGCAAACACGCTGTCTGGCACGGCTCCCCAGGCCTGGCCTCAGGCATTGCTCGTCCAACGGCTGGCCTGACAGAGCAGGAGTCTGATGTCCTCTGAGCACAAGCACCCATCTTCCCCATGCTGCGCAGCTGTGCTCCATCAGTCAGGGGCTACATCTGGGC